CACAGCCCTATTCTCAAGTGATTGTTTCCAGCATAGTAATTTTTAACCCAAGTTTTTTATATTACAAAGAGGAGTTAGGGTTGTTGAAGTGAAGCTCTTCAGCTGTAGGACTCAAATTTAGTACATCCAAAATGGAACTTGGGTTGTCCAACTCTGAGCTTATTAGTTTATTTTAGTTTTTTTTAAACTGTGACTTATTTGCCCTTATTAGTGTATTTTACTTAGCATATAGTAACTATATCCTCTGGTTGCCCTTGAGGACAACTCTAGAGGGTCATCCAGAATGCCAGTGTGGTACTCTGGCTATGCAGCATGTGGGGAATGTTGAATGTGTCATAGGCGGATCCACAGTCTGTGATCAACAGTGGGATCATCTGCACCACTTGAGACCACAGGACCCATGTGGGCAGAAGACAGGTTTCCTCTCTTCTTGTGCTGAGTTGTTCCTGTAGTCAGGTGGGCCTCACTGGGATGGGGACACTCAGCTGAATAGTGATGTAGTACTCCACCTCCTTTTCAAAGGTGTGAAGAGATGGAGAGAGGGTGGGGGCATGCCTAGGTGTGGGGCAGGTGGGCAGGTAAAAAGTAAGGATGCATACCCACACCTGGAAAACTTCCTGCATCCCATTGCCCAGAAAGTTTACAGTCCTGCTAGTGACTGGTAAAGCCAGGATCCCATGTGGGATCATGAACACAGAGCTCTGGGAGGAGACAGCAGACACTGTATCCCATGGGGTTTGGCACTTGGAGATCCCTACTACCTCTAGCATTATACTGCCAACAGGACTAATTCCTGAATTATGGGTCTTGGTGTCGTGGCTGTGATTACATGGTTGATGTTGCTGGAGTCCCCAGGAGTGACAGGGGGCTTGGAAAGAGCCCCATCACTCGGGTGCCATACAAATGGAGCAGCTGCAGACATGAGTCTGAGAAAAGATGAGCAGAGAGCAGATGGACACATGCTGTGGGGATTAGTGCACTGGATTACAAATTGTTAGTTAAACTCTCAGATTTCTGTCACTTAATTATTCCTCCAAAAAGAAGACACAAAGTCATTCTCATCTTTATAAACACCATTTAAATTCTCTTTTTAAAGACAGATGATATTTTGGTGCATAATACGAAACAAATCTAATAGTCATTCTGTTTACAACCGGCTGTCCCTACACTGTCATAGTTTTTTTGAAGAGACATTATTTTCAGAAGGCAAGAGAAAAACTCTTTACACTCTGGGAATCCTTTGCACAAGGTATCATTGAATTTCTAAGTTTTGCTGAGAATTCACAGACTGCACAAAAGGAACCATAGCAAAATAATCTTGAAATACGAGTGATACTTCACCATATTGTGCTAGTTCCCTCAATTTTTTTCTCCAGCTCTGCTACATAATGTATTTCTTGTGCCTCTGGACAGGTCAGGCTCTGCTGTGTTGTTTACTACCTTTAAAAACTTACCAGTAACTTGCTAGATAGTCCTGCTAGTAAGTGTTGCAAAGACTTGAACTCCTAACCAGAATGGATAGGATGAGGGCTAGGGGAAAGAGTAGATAAGAGTCATAAATGTTCCATAAGAATATGAAATTATGTTTTTCTAATCTTTTTGGCAATTATTTTTGTGGGATACTTTTTTATCTGTTCAGTCATGTGAGTTTATATAGGGGATTAGTAGAAATCATGGAAAATTTCTGGTGATGCTGGAAAAACAGGCCCTGGTGCACTTGTCTATTGGGTTTAGCATTCGTAAATCTTCATTGGAGGGAGATGGGGAGAAAACAAGGGCTTCCTCCAAAACCCAGACCAAAAAGTAATTAGTCTCTGCAGGTGGTCTGGCTATCCTTTGCTTCCTACTCTGTGGTGGATTTGTCAGGAAGAGGAGCAGTTACCTGACCTGGTCTTAATCCAGCATATACCTTAAGAACAACTAAAGCTGTGAGATGAGTGAATTAAGTCTGGAGTGTATAACCTCATCCCAAGTAATTATCCGATTGTTTTTCCTGAACGTCTGTTGTTATCTGTGTGGGTAGGGAAATTCAGCCTCTGAATGGAGCTGCAGACTGTGTTTTTGCTGCAAGTGGAGTTGGGTTTTTAGAAATGTCCCCCTGGCTCGGACATGGCTGTTACATGTCTAGTCCAGCTGTGCAAAGCCGTGCTGTGCATCAGAGGCACATGGCCATGAGTATTTGTAGGACTATTGAGCCTGCCTTCATGAGGGGAAGGGTTTGTTACTGCAGAATCTGTCAGCATTTACACACAACACAGTGATGTGTGTGGTTTGATAAATCCATCCTCAGGTCGCAGATCAATTATGACGCTAATATTTATACTCCTACCTCTACTGGGACCTTTTTTCCTCTGCAAACCTGTTGGTGATACCCTACACTTGACCTTCCCACGGCCTAGAGTGCCGTAGGGTTGGGTGCTTAGGTGCTTTGGGAAGCAGGACAAGCCTGATGTCTGTCCATTAGACTTCACAGGCCGGTGTTGTCTGGGCAGTTTGGAGCCCACACTTACCCCGTGTGTCATTGCTGGGCTGGGGAGATACCCAGGAGGGAAGGGGAGGGAGCAGTTCAGCCAGCCAGGCATTTGGCATTTCCTCAGGGGCCAGTAAATGAGTTTGCTCTCCGTGTAGCTCTGGACACTTGGAATGAAGCCACTCCTGCTGCAGCTGAGGCTGCTGCCGAAAGAGGGGGAGCACAGCTCGGGCCAGCGGGCTGCTGTGCTCATCCCACTGCCTGTGCCTGCCAGGGCTGGGGGCTGAGGCCAGGCCCAGCAGCACATCCCCTTGGGCTGGTGAGAGAGGCTGCCCTGTGCTGGGATGAGGGCACGCACACGCTGGTGTTTGCTCCATGGCAGGACCTGCCCAGGACTGTGCTCCTCAAGACACTGGGCACTGAGGCCCATCCCAGGCCAGCACCTCCCTGGCAGGGCCCAAGCTGAGACCTTGCTGGCTGCAGGCATGGAGTGATGACACTGAAGGTTGTCCATATCTTCTGCTTTCTCAGTGCTCCCTGACTGGTCTGTTAAGCTAGTGCTGGGATAGCTACACCACACTACACTTCTGCTGTTTTATGCAGCTCATGTGACTTGTCACTTGAACTGCCCTGTGGTCTGTGGGCACTGAACAGAGTAGTCGTCAAAGAGGTCCCCATGAAGGGCCTGTATGGTTGTTCAGGAGCCCTTCTCAGAGGTCTTTGCCCTCTGTCTTCTCACATGCCAGAAGTTCCTGGCTCTGAACTGAGGGCTTTGAAAATCAGAGGTCTTCTTGCCTTAACCCTGCTATTAGGCATCTCTTTGCCCAGAGTAAAGAATTTTTCCAGTTTTCCTGTTTACCATTCCACTGCTGGCCGGGACTTATTCTTTTGAGATCTTGGACTTTCATTCTTCTTGTTTGAGCTACTGTACCACAGCTCAGACACACACCTGCACTTTGAGGTAGCAGATCTGAAATTAAAAGTTGATTTTTCTGCCTTTTCTGGCAATTTTTATTCTAGGATGGTTGTTTATGCATTCAGTCGTGGAAGCATATATGCAGGATTAGTAGACCTCATGTGGAAAATTGCTTGGTGACACTGGAACAATGAGTGCCAGTAGAGTTTAACACTGATAAATTCTAATTCCAAGGAGGGCTCCTTTCGGACTGGAAACAAACAAAGTAATTAGTCTCTGCAGGTGGTCTGTCCAGCCTTTGAATGGAGCAGTTACCTGACCTGGTCTTAATCCAGCATATACCTTAAGAACAACTAAAGCTGTGAGATGAGTGAATTAAGTCTGGAGTGTATAACCTCATCCCAAGTAATTATCCGATTGTTTTTCCTGAACGTCTGTTGTTATCTGTGTGGGTAGGGAAATTCAGCCTCTGAATGGAGCTGCAGACTGTGTTTTTGCATGCAAGTAGCATTTTCACTGGCATGACTCTGCTACTACACACGGATGTTATGCAGTCTTGTACAACTGTGTGGCATGAGCAAACAGCACAGTTATTGTAAGCTAAGGATTACTCATAGCAATGAAGAGCTGCTCCAAAAGGGGAAGGGATTGTTACTGCAAGATCGCCTCAATACTTGCCTATGTTCTTTTCATATTCAAGTAGGTCCAAAGCAGTGAGAATTTATCTGGATTTTTGACTAAGAACTCAATTTTTGTAGGCGCACTAAGACTTTCAAATCATGGGTATGCCATCTCAGCAACCCCCTGATTGGCTTGCCCCAACAGTAAAGCTAAGGAAGCCTAAATGTCCATCTTTCTCTGTGTAGACAGTTGGGGAGTGGTTGGGAACAGTGAACTGGGGCTGCTAATTTTACAGAGGTTTATTTTGTGAGAACATTTACAACATTGTGTTAGGGTGTGTTCAGTGAAAAAGAAGCTAAATAGTCAATTAGAGCACCTTTGGTGACTGGGAGATTGGTGCCTCAGTGAAACTAATTTGGTAGCATTGGGATGGAAGCTTGAAGAATAATTTGCACGGGGTTTTTTTATGTAAGAAATGTTGAATTGGCATTTCAGGTAAAGAAACAAGCAAGTATGGAAAACGTTCTGATGCCTTCATTAAACTGGACACTTCTAATTCAAGAGTATGAGTGGAGCATCTGAATATATGAGAGAGCAGTTATAAAAAGATAACTGTTGAGCAAGGAAACTTTAGTTCTTGGCAACATACTGAGTAAATGACAAAGAATGATTAAAAGTGCTGCCATGTAGGATCAGACTCATATGTTCTTGAATTTAATTTTTAAATAGCTTGGGTCTGTTCCCATTCAAAAGCCAAAACATTGCAGAAAGTGGTGCATCTGAAACTTTAGTTTCCAAAGGTTTTTTAGAGGCCAGTTTTAGAGGCTTTATTTTCTCTGTGTTCCAAAGGCCTTACTAGCCAAAAGGTGTCTGTAGAATTGCACACTTCAGCTTAGTATTTTTAAGAAATAAATCCCAAAAATATTAGTTTCACATATACAGCTATAAATAATAATTTTGCTGCAGAAAAAAAAAAGAGTGTTGTATTGACAGACATTCTATTTTGTGCCTTTTTTTTTTCCAGGTGGTGCACTGTCAGATGTGGAGTCTTTTGTAGTGAATAAAGGGGAGGAATTAAGGCTGACGTGCAACGAGGAGGGACCTGTGACTTGGAATTTCCAGAGCTCGGACCCATCAGCAAAAGCAAAGAGTTCCAGCGAGAAGGAGTGGTACACCAAAAATGCAACAGTCAGAGACATAGGCACATACACGTGTAGAAGCAAAGGGAGTATTGTCTCCTCTTACTATGTTTTTGTTAAAGGTAAATATCAATGAAGGCATTATTTTTGCTTCCCACCCCTCCCCTTCCCCCCCTGCCCCCCTTCCACAATAAGTCTTGGAAGACGGACTGAATTTGAAGTACAGTGGGAGAACACAATCTGGTAGAATAAATCTTCCTCCCTGTCCAGTAGGAAGAAACCTCATTCTCTGCTTTGCTTGCAATGGCCTTTGTCAGCAGCACAAAGTTCTGGATGAGTTCCTCTTTACATCCCCATTTGTGGTAAAGTTTATCCAAGCTCCCTCTCTAGATAAGTGACCTGATTCGGTAGCATGAGTCAGTTTTATCATGAAGAAGCAAGAAATACATAAAAATGTCTTTTTAATTCTATGCCATCCATCAGTATGGAGTCATGTAAAATTTGGTCCCAGGCTTTTAGTTTACTGAGGCAGTCCGCCTAAAGGATTTGTTCTTTTGAGACTGTGTTCCCAGGCCTAAGCCAGCAGACACTGATGATTCCTCTGCATTCAGCCTCTGATGTACCTTATGACTGACCAGAAATGTCTCAGACAGGGAAAAACGTGCTTCTGCTCTGACACATTTCTCAATCCTTTATTGCTCTTCTTTGTGCAGTGTTTTCTTCAGATTTCTTCTCTGCTGATATATGTCTACATCAGCTGCCCCCGAGCTCACAGTTTACTATGCCTGGCACTTCCCCAGAAAAATGGTTGTTTTTCTTCTCCTTCACATAGCTCTGGTGGTCTTCCTAACCTGTTGATGGAAAAGAGTCCTACGGCATCATTCTTGAAGACAGCATTCCTTGACCAGCAGGGGTTGTCTCAAAGAGCCCCCTCTGAACCGTACTAGTCCTTTGAGAATTACTGCAAGGTTGTCTCCAAGACAGGGAGATACCAGCACAGGAAAGCACAGCACAGCAAAGGTTATTTTCATGACAGAAGATGTCTGGCATAGCAGCCACACAATTTAGAGTGCACCTTTAACTGCTCCTGAGTTCTCCAAATAGCCATGCAGCTACCATGGATAAGTTTTCTTAACTTTCTGTTTTTCTCTGAGACTGTGACTAAAGGAAATCTGACATGTGGTAAACAATCTTCACTTTACCTACCCTGATTTTTTTCCTGAAGGTTATGGTAATTATCTCAGACAGCTATGATTGTAGAGATGTTTTTGCCTTCCGTTGCATGAGTGACTCCTTCATGACTCCTTCACCTAGGATTGCAGGCAGCTCTCCTGAGCATGCTGGCCAAAGCATCAGTGAAATTGTTGGCCCTCATGCAACACGTTATTATCTTTTTTCTCGGTTTTGTGCAAAAGGTGCAACCTTAACTTTGACAAGTTCCTTGCAGTAAAATACGTATGTTTGCGAGGTTGACCATCATTTTGCATCAGGCATGGTTTAATGACTTACCTCACCTGAAAGATACTGCCATATGCTCTGCTGCTTGTGAGGTTGCCACAAACACCTCATTATACTTTTCTGCTTGTAAAGTGGAATGAAGAGAGAACAAGACCAAGAACCTCGATCCTACATAGTGACACCTAAAATGGTGGCATCTGTTGATATCTTATGTTCTTCTGAACATACTAAATCCAAATTTCTTCTGTTTCTGTGACCAAGACTGACACAGTGTTGAGAGACTGTGGATGTGGACCTGCTCTCCTTTCTCTTTTGGCAGAAAGTACCTTTGTACTATCTGTAAAAAGCATATTTTTTCCTGATCCAAGCAAGCCTAGTTCAAACTCCTGCACAAGAGAGAAAAATTTCTTGGTTTTGATCTCAAGTTTTTTCAGATGGAAGCACTGATAAGCTCTGTCATATCTTGTGTTGGAAACTGTGTTCTGCAGTATGCCCAGAAGGCAAGTGCAACCCAAGATGTCCATGGGGTAGAAGGCCATGAAAGGAAGAACATGACCATGAGCAGCCTTGTTTGTCTGGATACTCTGTAGGAAGTCCTTTCATGTCTTTTCACTCTGCTGTTCCCTTCCAGATGGGGATTGAAGATGCAAGGGGAGCACCTCAGCAATTCTGCTTGCTCCAGTGAAGGCCTTGCCTGCAATTTCAGTTGTTAGTGAAACAGGTCTTTGCTCCCGCTGTTTTCAAAAATGTCTTTCATTTTTTGGTAGTTGCTGGGAGCCATACTTTCTGCCTAATGAAGATATCTTGGTTCTGTCCATATTGGAGAAAGGGGGACTGAGTAGAAAGCAATCAGCCTGTTAGCAATTATGTCTGTTAGCAGGGTGTCATGGTTTGAGCCTGGCACAGAGCCAGTGCCCCCCATGAAAATGCCCTCACCCTGGTGTCTGCTGTGAGATGTGACCAGGAATAAGCAAAACAGGCTTTAGCTTAAACA